ATATATGGTTGTAGCCAGCAAAGGGTTAATCATGGCATTCCATAAAACAGATGTATCGTGTTGATTGCTGAAATAAATATATTAATTCTTTAACACGGTATTGGTCCTTAGATTAACGGACTGTCTCAATTAATGTTTTTGTTAAAAGGAATGGCTATATAAGACACTTTATTTCAATGATGCCAGTTCAATATCGCAAGGTCAACCAATATCACTCTGACACGGTCCTTCCTTAATTATTCGTATTCAAGCAAAGCTCACCGTTTCCTAGCATGTCCAGTACAAGCTTTTATAGCATCTGTTCCAGACCAAGCTTCTATAGGAGTTCCTCCCCATGCTGATTCAATCAGACCGATGGGATATTTACGATGGTTGTATAGGTATTCTCCATATAAAAGACATAACGCCGAGAAGGTCGGAACTGAGGCTGAAAAAAAGTTTCACACAAAAAATATGTTATTCGGGAATTTGGCAATTATAGGATTTAAGATGATGCGAACCTGAACAAATAAAAAGGTATACTTTCCATTTACATGCAATTCTAACCTTGGGCTTTGGTTAGCAGAGCAGACCTGAGTACTTATAACAATGATTGCACTTGGGAGGGAACATCAGTTTTTTTCTTCCAAACACCATCGATTACCTTCCAGATATAAAAGATCCCTTTCTTACTTGCTGATGGAGCTGTCCATGGTGTTTGAACCGTCTTTATGTCTTCCAGTGGTGTCGGTGATTCTACATCTCTGACGTGAAATAATCTGATTTTATCAAAGGTCAAGGCTTTCTTTAATTCATAGGCACTGTTATTGACCTGCAATGATTTTGAAAGTGTGGACCGTTTAAATTTCAAATAAAATGAAAGATAGGAGCAAATATTTGGGGAATGTTTTTCATCTGCAGTTTTGATGTTGTATTTCCATTTGACTTTACTAGCGTGTTCGATCGTTTGTATTTCTTAATCATGCTTTACAACGTCGAATTGAGATCGCGTGACCTGAAAATTGCAAGGTTCTAACTAACAATTTGGTCATATTGAGAAAATCTCTTCTCGGACTGTCCATTTTTTCAACTTTTTACGTTTTAATTTAAAATAAAGTGAAAGATAGGGGTAAATATTTGATGTTGCAGTTCCATTTGACAATACTACCGTGTTCGATCAATGATATTTCTTAATCATGGTTTACAACATCGTACTGAGATTGGACAACCTCTACTCATTTAATACTGTCAACGGCTGTGAGGCGGGAATTTTTCAACAATTACCATGGTCATGTTTAAAGTCAAGGTCTTGTGACATATCAGTTAGTGGGGGGCCACGGTGGCTCAGTCAGTAAGACGTTGGCCCGCTAACCTGGAGATCACGTGATCGATCCCTGCGTTAGCCCAGAAAGTTCATCGAGAATTTCCGGCGTGGATCCACCTTGTCGGTGGCGCATGACAGAGGATCTGGTAAAAGACACTGTATAGTCATTCGGATAGGACGAGAAACCGAGATTCCGTGTACACATTAGCGTGCATATAAAATACCCCTGCGAAGTTGGAATTCGATATATAAGAGTAGGCTGTAGCGCCGCTGTCCGGGCACAATTCCCTTCATTGCACATTGTATGGCGTACGCCCGTCTTCATTAGCCCAGTCGGAGCAGAACATTAGGATATTACACTACATTTCAGATTTCATATCCGTTTCATACGAAGAAAATATGAATGAATTACCCAGAATGCAAAAATGAAAATGACAGGCAGATGTTAATTATTCGTAGATCATAAGTGGAGTTCCAACAGTTGCAAGAAGATGTGGACTACCAGAATAAATATTTATGAATTATTCTTTACGATCCCATCTGACTGATGACCAATGATGGAAGATGAGATCAATCTAGAATAACATTAAAGTAATATCAAAAAATTACCGAGTTCATGGCGAAAGCCATATTACTTTGTCCAGAACAAACCCATACATCTCCAAATAAAACATCGTGGAGACTAACACTACCTTCTGAAGATGTAGCTGTGATAACAAAAGGACCTGGACTTGTCATAGCAGGTAGTTTAGCTTTCCACATTCCATTAGCTGTTGTTGTTTGCACTGGAGATCCATGGCCTACGATTTGAATTGTGACCTTTTCGTTGTTTTTGTCCGCATAACCCCAGACAATAGCTTTGTGGGGACCTCTCTGTAGTACCATATGGTCTCCATAAGAAGCTGAAAATCGTAGTGCTGCATCACTACCTGAAATACAACAGTAACACAATATTTTGTATACCACCTAATCCAAATATTGTTACTCGTCGTCCAGTACATAGTATGTTCACAATTCCTGTCCATGTATGCACGAAAAACAACGACACAATCAGCAAACACCAAGGGGAAAAGCGAAATCGAAATACGTAGATGTTTAAACTATTTTAGTAAACGATGGAATATAACCGAGCTTAGAAAGCCTTGAATGTCCTAGCGAATAATCTCCCTTATATCTTAACAACTTTATACCTGTTACAGCGGTTACTAGTAAAATTAAAGTTATAAACACCATATCGCGGAATACTGGTCAACTAATTTACATAGCTGTATGAAACAATATTTAAAGTAAGTAGAAATTTATACGTGCTTAATCTTGATTGTATCGATAAGAATCAGTAACTTTCTTAATGTTCTAGACCTAGTAAATAATCTTAAACCTGTGCAGAGCTCTCATATCTGCGGCCTTGATTGTATAATGGCAGTTGTTATTTTCTCACCATTCTTCTTGTGATCCTTTAACAATGAAAAAACATTTAACCTACAAGAAGATAGGTTATCAGATCGTGATTCATGACAGGATTTTATTTCAAGAAAGTGAGAATTGTCTATACAGCAGTTGTTAATAAACAGTCAGCCAAATCAAAAACATAATTTCATTCATGTACATAGCTGCACAGCATCATTCCTGTGTCTGGCAGTCGGGGGCAACTTCTTGCTTCTTATTTACCAGAACTAATGATATTTCAGATTACGAAATGAAATGGGGTTTACCGTCCTAAATTTTTGTTTACTATTTCAGATGATCACACTTAGATTCATGTGTTCTTATTGAGGCAACTCGCATTAAAATGGTTCATGGTCTACCACATTTCCGGTGTTGTTTGCCCATGTCAGTGGTGTAGAACAATGTCTGATCGTTCGGATGGGATGGAAAACTGAGACCCCGTGTACCTATTGGCGTGCACGTAAATGAACCGATGACAGCTGAAATTCGAAAGGGCAAATTACCCTCATAGCACACTGTATTATTATTATTATTATTTACAGTCCTTATATAGTGCTTATCTAAAACATTACTCTAAGCGCTTTACAATTCATAAAATCACATAAAATCCACAACAAAAAATGCTTATATATATAAAGTCATATATAAGAATCGTATGGCGTATACCCTTCTTTATTTGCCGTGTCAGTGCCGAACAGTAAGACATTCAAACAAATTTAATTTCATTTCAAAACATGAATTAGATTCAGCTCTGGTTTTATTTGTGTTGTTGTTTTGGCATTTTTGCCATTTCAGCATCTGTCTTATAATGGATTTAACAGGACTAGCTATAGGATGGTGGACCATATTTTACACCATTTAACAAGTACAGGTCATCTGGTTATTGATGTCAGTTCCAGCTTCGAGGAACATAATTATTGATTTCACTTTCAATTAAAATATATTGGGAGTGATAACTGGAATCAGAGAGGCTGGTCGGGAGGCTTCCACCCACTAGAACACCCTTGCGCCATCATTAGTGCCGTTCTTGCTTTTTAATGAAAGCAGGGTTAATGGTCTGGAGCAAATCTTAGGTCTTTTAGTACAAACCAAACAGTCTTCCTGTTAAAATATCAGAACAGGTATTTCCAATTAAGTTAAATTGTTGGGATGTGAATTTTAGAAACGTTATGTATATGAACAAGGTAATGATTTACCAGCTCCAGCATTTATTGAAAATACAGCATTTTAACAATTTCTAAACTGATCCCGCATTGCAAATTTGAATATTTTATGCATTCTCAGGCGTCCACTCGACGCAAACTAGGGCGTTGTTGGACAGTGGCTCTGGTCTGCATGACTTTAGGCAAATGCAGAACTTCTTTTTCGATTTGTTGTCTCGCTAAAAGAGAGAGAAAGAGAGAGAGGGGGGGGGGGTAATCTCGACACAATCTCGGTCATTTCAGGACTAACATATGGTTCAATTTTATTTCAATAATTCGCTTGCGCCTAGTGGTCTTTAGCAGTGGGAGGAAACCGGAGGACCCGGAGAAAACCCACGAGGTTGGACAGGCGACCCAACTCCTTGTCACTTACAATGGTAACTATTCGGTCATTCCCCCCCCCCATCAATAAGAGAATACAGACATCAATCTAAATGTGATCATTTGAAATGAAATACAGAAAAGAGTTGGGTTAAAACTGATTCATTTCATTTCCTGATCTGAAATATCATTAATTCTGGAAAGTAAAAAACAAGAAGCAGACAAGCATAAAAACGCCCTGTTTCTGTTGCTGTGTAACGTCTATTATAATACGTGACACCATTACCTTAAATGCTTCTGACTGTCAGACAACAGGAATGATATTATATATATAGACGACATTGTTTTACTCCCGACAACAGCAATGACGCTGTGTACATGATTTGGCTGACTGTTTATGTAATAACTGCTGTATAGACAATTCTCACTTTCTTGAAATAAAATCCTTTCAGAAATCACGATCCGATAACCTATCTTCTTGTAGGTTAAATGTTTTTTAATTGTTAAAGGATCACAAGAAGAATGGTGAGAAAATAACAACTGCCATTATACAATCAAGGTCGCAGATATGAGACCTCTGCACTGCAGGTTTAAGATTGCTTACTAGGTCTAGAACATTAAGAAAGTTACCGATTCTTATCAATAAAATCAAGATTAAGCACGTATAAATTTCTACTTACCTTAAATATTGTTTCAGACAGCTATGTAAGTTAGTTGATCAGTATTCCGCGATATGGTGTTAATAACTTTAATTTTACTAGTAACCGCTGTCACAGGTATATAGTTGTTAAGATATAAGGGAGATTATTTGCTAGGACATTCAAGGCTTTCAAATTAGAGCCCTGTCTAAACTCGGTTATATTCCATCGTTTACAAAAATAGTTTAAAAATCTACGTATTTCGTTTTCACTTTCCTCTTTGGTGTTTGCTGATTGTGTCGTTGTTTTTCGTGCATACATGGGCAGGAATTATGAACATACTATTTACTGGACGAGTTGTATTTCAGGTAGTGATGCAGCACTACGATTTTCAGCTTCTTATGGAGACCATGTGGTGCTACAGAGAGGTCCTCACAAAGCTGTTGTCTGGGGTTATGCGGACAAAAACAACGAAAACGTCACAATTCAAATCGTAGGCCATGGATCTCCAGTGCAAACAACAACAGCTAATGGAATGTGGAAAGCTAAACTACCTGCTATGACAAGTCCAGGTCCTTTTGTTATCACAGCTACATCTTCAGAAGGTAGTGTTAGTCTCCACGATGTTCTCTTTGGAGATGTATGGGTTTGTTCTGGACAGAGTAATATGGTATTCGCCATGAACTCGGTAATTTATTGCTTTTATTTTATGCAATTTTATAATTATCTCATCTTTCCATGGTGTCCAGGCAGATTTCGTTCCAAACCCTATATATCTACGGTAATTAATGGTTTCGTGAGGGATACTGCGTAAATATATTTTTCTGGTAGTCAACATCTTGTTGCAACTATTGGAGCTCCAGTATTTTTCCACTTCACTTATGATAGACCTATAAATAATTAACATCTGCCGGTCATTTTGATTTTTGCATTCTTTGTAATTCATTCACATTTTCTTGGTATCAAACTGATATGGCCAAAGACCGGGTTTTTAAACCTAAACATAGGAATTGTTGGAAAATGATTTGTGCAAATTCTAACCTCATGGGGTTGGCAGTTTGACTCTTATCTCAATTCGGCGTTGTAAAGCACGATTGCGAAAGAAATGATAGAACACGGTAGTATTGTCAAATGGAACTGCAACATCAAAAGTGCAGACGAAAAACATTATCCATGCACTCTGCGTCATTATCGTCTTTTCATTTTATTTTAAATAAAAACAGTTCACATTTTCAAAATCATGTCTATTTGGCAGTATCTAATGTATAACAGGTGTCAAAATTCGCGCCCTGAAAATTACACTAACATTTTGGTCAATGTTGAGTTTGATAATGGATATTGTTGGCATTACAAAGTTCTATCTGATAACAGGATTAAGGAACAATAAAATATAGTGGATTGACGTCCACAATCCAATTACAAGATTCCAATTCACTAGTGGACACCTTCTTCAAAAATAATAGGGTTCTATCTCTGTCGCTTTCCACGAAGTTTTAGGAGGACCAATCAGATTTCAGCTTGCATTTTAGTTAGGTGATTATTCCTCAGGCATCATGGTTAAGCCTAGGCATCATTCGTGGAAAATGGCAGATATAACTTTATTATTTTGAAGGTGTCCACTAGTGAAAAGTTGAAAAATGGACATTGGAGAAGAGATGTTCTCAATATGACCAAAATTAGTCAGAACCTTGCAATTTTCAGGTCACGCAATCTCATATTTCGACATTGTAAAGCATGATTAAGAAATACAAAAGATCGAACACGCTAGTATTGTCAAATAGAACTACAACATCAAAACTGCAGATGAAAAACATTCCCCAAATATTTACACCTATCTTTCATTTTATTTGAATTTAAAACGGCACACTACTACATTGTCCTTTTGGATAGAGGGAGAGGGGGGACGGGTAACGTCCACTCGGGACTAACGCATGGTCCAAAATCATTGCAGGTGAATAACAGTGCCTATGAATTGAAGAAAGCCTTGACCTTTGATAAAATCAGATTATTTCACGTCAAAGATGTAGAATCACCGACACCACTGGCAGACATAAAGACGGTTCAAACACCATGGACAGCTCCAACAGCAGGTAAGAAAAGGATCTTTTATATCTGCGAGGGAATCGGTGGTGCTTAGCCGGCGGATTTGGAGTGCACGAAAATGATTTTCCTTCTCAAGTAGACTCATTGATTTAACGACTCACGGCTGCATTGTTTACGGGCCGAAGGTCCTCAGCTGCTCAACAATTAAAAGCACTCTCTCAACCAAAACGAAAGCTGAATAACAAACATTTTGTTTTTTGTTCAATCATATAATCTTGTAAAATGGAATAATTCTTGTATATCTATTCCAGAATCCGTTCCGGCTTTCTCGGCGTTGTGTCTTCTATATGGAGAATACCTATACAACCATCGTAAATATCCCATCGGTCTGATTGAATCAGCATGGGGGGGTACTCCTATAGAAGCTTGGTCTGGACCAGATGCTATTAAAGCTTGTACTGGACATGCCAGGAAACGGTGAGCTTTGCTTGATATAAAGAACAATATTGTCAGAGTGATATTTGTCGACCTTGTGATATCGAATTGGCACCACTGAAACAAAGTGTCTAATATAGCCATTCCTTTTAACGAAACCCCGGTTATACGTGGCAAGGAGTTGGGTCGCCTGTCCAACCTAGTAGGTTTTCTTCGGGTCCTCCGGTTTCCTCCCACTGCTAAAGACACCTACGCGCAAGCGAATTATAGAAATAAAATTAAACCATACGTTAGTCCCGAAATGACCTAGTTTGTGTCGGGTGGACGTTAAACAACCTCTCTCTCTCTCTCTCTCTCTCTCTCTCTCTCTCCCTCTCTCTCTCTCCTTTTAACAAACACATTTGAGATTTGAGACGGTCCGTAACAAACACATTTGAGACAGTTGGGGGTGTCCGTTAATCTAAGGACCAGTACCGTGTTAAAGAATTAATATATTTATTTCAGCAATCATCGCGATACATCTGTTTTATGGAATGCTATGATTAACCCTTTGCTGGCTACAACCATATATGGTGCTATTTGGTTTCAAGGTAAACTATAGTTTAAGATTAAAAAACTAAATTATGGAATGTATTCCGATTAGACGAACAGAAGTCGGCCCTAAATAGAAAGTAGGAGTATACCTTCCCCATACATGAGATGGAATTATTAGCCATTAGCCCATTATGTTATATCATAGTTGTTGTTTGTTAGGTTCGCACCATATCGCTACTTCTTTTTAGTATTATATAAATATTTAAAATATTTTTAAATTTTTTTATTTTTTATTTATATAATTTTATTATTGTACATCCAATTCATTTGGGTGGGTTGGATGGCCGAATGGTTAGCACGTGCGCGCTTTATCATAAGAACTGTCATTGAGTCAACTGGCGTCGTTTCGAATCCCGGTTGTACGTGACAAGGAGTTGGGTCGCCTGTCCAACCTCTTGGGTTTTCTCCGGGTCCTCCGGTTTCCTCCCACTGCTAAAGACCCCTACGCGCAAGCGAATTATTGAAATAAAATTAAACCATATGTTAGTCCCGAAATGACCTTGTTTGTGTCGAGTGGACGTTAAACCCCATTTCTTTCTCTCTCTCTCTCTCCAATTCATTATCTGGCTTTTATATAAGTATTCACCACGATTTCTTAATCGCGGATAATATTTACGGGTATCCGATTAATTCCTGTTAAACACCAATTTACACAATGCTACTGACAACTACTTATCTATTTATATGTATTTAGGGTTTCACTAATTAGCTGACTATATCGCTTTGACTAAGTACTTGTTATTATATACTCTTCAAAATGCACGGGTGCTTTTATTAGAGGTAAGCAGTGTATGTTAATAACAGGCCAATTGCCTACACATGAACATAAACAGTTCATATGGGCGGCTTTTATGTATTCATTTAGGGTTTCACTAATTAGCTCACTATATCGCTTTGGTTATCTATACTAATATTTGTGACTGTCGTTTGTCTGTCTGTTTGTCTGTCTGTCTGTCTGTCTGTTCGGGGTTGGCGGCTACACTAGGTCTGCCCCGAGTAACATAGGCCAGGTGGCGTTAGTCTACCACTTCCGGTTTCGGGGTATGACCCCCGAGCGAAGCCGGGTATCCTGCTAGTTATATATAGTTATGACTTCCTTTTAATGTATATAAATACTTAGGGTTTTACTTATATGTAAGCTTCTCCTCTGGATGAAATTCACCTTGGGCGCTTCCCTGCAAAGACACTATGTCCTACCCAAAAAAAAGAGCTGGACCAAACCTATTTTTTGTGGCTTCCTCTGGCAAGTTCCTTAGGAAACACTTGTCCACGATATTACCCTCGGTGGAAGTGGACGTAAACTCCAGGAACGAACAAAGGAACTTATTTGTTATCATTTGCTCGATAACGACGAGAGTATCATCGTCGAAACGTTGCATGTTAATAAACCAGCAATAGTTGTTAGTGTGTGAAAGACTCATATTTCGTGAAGTACATTTCAAGCTGGCACAGTTTGGTTGTGCAAGCCGCTGTTTTGGTTTCTATTTTCAAAAATCTACGACTTGGAGATACCATTATAACCCTTTCAGACCCATCTTGGTGTTCTGTTATATTTATTTATATATTTTTGGTATTATTATTATTTGTTGAAAACTTTTCAGGTGAAGCAAATGCCCGCCATTCTGCAAAATATGCATGTCAGCAACCGGCTATGGTTAAGGAATGGAGAAAAAACTTCCACCATGCCTCAATGGGTGAGACAAGTCTAAATTTTCCATTCGGATTCGTACAGGTAATTATTATAATAACCAAGCTTCGTCAAACTAAGCAAAGGATAGTGTCCTAAAAATGCCCAGTATTTGTCTCCCAGTATTCATCGCAATCTCTGAATGTTACCATTGTATGTCATTCGTAATGTTCCCACGCGACTTCTCATTTTTTTAGGAAGTTAATACACCTAACTAAACTGCTGCATTGTCCTTTTAGATAAAGGGGGGGGGGGTAACGTCCACTCGACACAAACTTGGACATTTCAGTACTCACACATGGTTCAATTTTATTTCAATAATTCCCGTGCGCGTAGGGGTCTTTAGTACTGGGAGGAGGTCGGAGGACCTGGAGAAAACCCACGAGGTCGGACAGGCGACCCTACACCTTGTCAGGTACAAGCGGGGATTCTAAAACACACCACTTGACTCAACGACAGACCTTATGATTTCACGCACACACGTTATACCACTACACCCGCCATCCTTCTAAACTATTTCAAGCACCCAATTAAGACATGATTTTCCAGATTGAGATCTATATATGTTCAGCCTATCTGAAATCTAGTCTGCATAAGTGTAATAATTATATTTTTTCACTATTTGAAGCTGGCTGCTAACAGTGCAAATCACACCAAAATCGGTGGTTTTCCAGGATTGAGATGGGCACAGACAGCTAACATGGGCTACGTTCCCAACACCAAGATACCTCATTCTTTCATGTCTGTGGCAATGGATCTTCCTGATTTTCATTCACCCCGTGGATCGTTAGTACTGTTTCTTTTCATTGAAATTTAGTTTGTATAACACCATGTTTGGTCCATATAACAGGAATAACAAACTCTTTGTAATGAATTTTTGCATTGCCGTTTCCACCGTTGAGTACTAAACACTAAACGTCACCTGTTTATTTCAGCATCCATTCCCGATTTAAACAGGATGTAGCTGAAAGATTGGGGCTAGCCTCTTTAGCTGTAGCTTATGGTGAAAAGGGTCTGAGTTATCAAGGACCATATCCTACATCATTTAATACTAAAACTAAAGGTCATCTGGTTATTGAGTACGATCATGGACATACTGTTTTAGACATAAGAACAACAGCTGGTTTTGAGGTACGTTTTCTTTTAGAAATAGATGAGTAATTATTCAATCTAGAATACGAAAGAATGAGCATTATTGTAAATATACATTCCCATGTACATACCTTATCAAGCTTAATAATTTGCAAACCAACATATTTCTATGTATAGATCAATTGTCTTAATGGAGATATAAAAATCGAGGGGTCCTGCTCAGGCTCAATTGAGGTGGGGGGGGGGGCTGGTGCCTTTAATAATAGGAAATGGCATCTACAGGGTTCCAGGTTTCCAATTATGTTGGGTAAGCATCTCAGAACACCGGTCATGTGCTTTTTGCATCTTTGGCTCTCGCGAATTGTCACTACAACACTTCAATTTTCACATCAATTCCAAATTTCGAATACAGATTAAATATATATACTATGAATTTATATTTTTAGATCTGTTGTTCTGCTACCAGTCAAACTACGTGTGGAACAAATGATGCTTGGGTTGCTGCACCCGTTTTAACACATCATGGTGCAACTGTTACCTTGAACGTCTCGGGTTGTCAAGACAAGCACTGGGTAGGATTGAGATACTCGTGGAGAGAGAGTCCTTGTGAATTTAAGAAATGTTGTGTATATGGACGAGATAATGATCTGCCAGCCCCATCATTTATTAGAAATACAGCATTTTAAGAACAGATTTATTTTAAATTGTCTATGTATTGAATGAATTCGTAGAAAACTGTGAATATTATGCTATGTGTTTATTATACAGATTTGCTGTTCTGGAGGTCAAGTGGGGTAGGAAATCTTTAGGGGCAGAAATTAGAATTGATATTGGAGTCCTCCGTAAAAACAAATCTGGACTGTGATCTTGGCTCGATTTGCTTCAGGGTTTAAAGAGTTAGGTGTATAACTCAATATAACCCACAGTCTTCGACAATGCAAACACGACTGATTGGTCAATTTAAATCAACACTGATGCTGTTATCTTACCGAAAGGATGGGCTTCTGATATCCAATATATAAGACAAAATGAAAACTTTCAAATTTGCGCAGCAATCGCGTGCCAGAATGCTTTCGACCGCCATTTGAAGTGACTCGATGAACGAGTCTAAGTATACCAAACAGGAGAATACTACCGGCGTAGACTGCCATTCAATTTGGACTCTTCACGTATTTCGCCGTTCGAGGAAATCCGGTTAGAAATTACAGTAATAACAGAAACGATTGAATGTAAATCAATTTATGTACATTCATATTACAATATTATATGCGTTGCGATCCATTTGGGGGTAGGGGGTCTCATGGTCGAATGGTTATCGCGTGCGCGCTGTATCACAAGGTCTGTCACTGAGTCAACTGGCGTGGTTTTGATTCCGCGGTTGTACGTGACAAGGAGTAGGGTCGCTCTCCAACCTCGTGAATAACTGGGGCACAGCTGGGCACTGTTTCAAATGAGTAGGCAGATTATTCCAATGTGAAGCTGCCATTTATGAAAATGATTTTGCTCTAAAACATTTTAAATTATGAGTTGGTAACTGTAGCTGAGGTTATTTTTTGATCTTAGGTTCCTAGAGATCTTAGGTTACCGCTTCTGGTAATATGTCCATACAGCAAATATATAAGTCTCGATTAAACGATAACCATAGACAGCAGCTTATCCGAAAGGAAACCTTGGTCGTTGACCAAATATAATAAGGATATGATCCTTCAAGAAATCTAAGAATTGGTGGAGTTCAGTCACCCATTTCCTCAAAAATCCGTTCAAAACTGTATCTTCGGTCATATTAACACTGTTTTCAAGATAAGCTGATAGGCCATGGTACGCTGATTGGGTTCGTCACTCTGCTGGAGTTCATTTTTCGGGACTCAAAATTCAAGAAGCTTTTTTTTTGGGGGGGGGGGCAATGTAACCCCGAAACGCAAGGTAGATATGCATCGATCCGTAACTACCCAAATTCCTCACGCAAAATTTGAAAAATTTAAGTTACAAACTGTAGTATTTTGCTTTTTTTAGAAAAGGGAAAGGTTGTGGAATGCTAAATATCAACAGGGTTCGTCTTCTGATGACAATGCAATGCTTCAGATAAAATTTGAAGAAACAAAAATATGTTATAATCCATATATATATAACCTCTGTCGCGTTCGCAAGCTTTTCAGAAAAGTCGTAGAATACTAAATTTCGATAGTGTTCGGCCTCTTACGACTCCAATGCTTCACAACATTCAGTTACAAACTGGTAAAATTGGATATAATTCAAACAAACAACCAAGTGTGATTTTTAACAGTCATTTTAATTGGAATATCGAGTGGGGTTTAACGCCCATTATTCAAACTAGGTCATTTCGGGACTAACACATGGTTCAGTTTTATTTCAATAATTCGCTTCCGCAGTGGGAGGGAACCGGGGACAGGCGACCAACAGGGGAATCGAAGTCACGTCAGGTGATTCAAAGACAGACCTTATGATACAGTGCGCACGTGCTAACCATTGGCCATCTAACTCCCCAGTTGGAATATCAATCTTCCCATCTAAAAAATCTAAAGATATACTAAACTGTCTTCGAACACTATCAAACCCAAACAATAATTCTCAAGGTTAGTTATAAACAGTTTATCTTGTCGTTGTCTATGTAAGAAATGTTAGGGTACCCCACCCTAAATAAATATCTCCAAAAAATAATCACACCACAATATTGATATATCTATAACAAGTCTTAATTTAGTTCCTCCCATTTATCGTCACTAACTAAATGGCCATGTTGTATTTAACAAGGTATAACCATTTAAAGTGCAATAAAATAAATAGACAGAAATCAGACACGACAAGCGGACTCCACTTCCTGGCAATGTTTAATGAAAAATAGGTAACGTGCGCATGGTTTGAAATTAGTCGCGTTAACTCAGTCTGATTGACATTCCTTTTACGCAACATAGCATACAGCTGGGCTGGAACAACAAATTTCAATTTAGCAACACGACAGTTCTTGCTCAAGACACGAGCCTCAGGGATAATAATCGTACTAAGCCATGAGATGGCGTTGCTAACGGCTTAGTTAAAAGAAAACCGTATTTTTTAAAATCTACTGTAACACTATCAAGCTAAACATTATTCAGAACCGTTGACAACAACTTCTCAGAGCTTTATTAGTTGATAGATGTGTAGACATTTTTACGTGTGATGGCTACTTATAGAGTAATAGAAACTATTCGGGCTTATCCACTTGGGAACCCACAATTGAGCGTGAACATTCGCTTTAGTAAGTTCTACTTTTAATATGGAAAATTTGACTGCGTTGGTCATTCTATAAAATGTAGTTCAGGTGAAAATTTACGATTGAAGGAGCCGATATCCGACATATATACTACGTTAAAATTATGTACTGGTTCTGGTCCATAAGAAAGTCATTGATTCTTATCAATAAAATCAAGATTAAGCACGCACAAACGTTTACTTTGTTTAAATATGGTTTCACACAGCTATGTGAAGTGAATTAGTACATAGTTTTCCTCGATATGGTGCTTATAACTATAATTTTACTGGTCACTGTCATCACGGGTAATATTTGAATATCCTTTTTTAAGATATGAGAGAACATTCTAGAGGACATTTGAGGCTTTCAAATTAGAGACCATGTTTTGGCTACTGCAATTCGTCCTCTCTCTAAACGTTGAGGATCAGCTCAAATGTTCAATTATTTAGTTGATTACTGAAAGAGTTAAACTGATTTACTACTCGCCAGAAATTATATTTTTCGATTTTTTAAAAGCAGAGCTGGTAGCTTTGCTCTATTTTGCTTGCGTCATTATACATAATTGCACGGCGAAGACAAACATTTTGTTTAGGAGGTATACAAAATCGTGACTAAATTGGCTAAAACTTTTATCATGTTGTTGTATTTTAGGTAGTGATGCAGCTCTGCGATTTGCAGCTTCTTATGGAGACCACATGGTGCTACAGAGAGGTCCACAAAGAGCTGTTGTCTGGGGTTATGCGGATAAAAATAACGAAAAGGTTACAATTCATATCGAAGGCCATGGGTCGCCAGTTCAAGTAACAACAGCTAATGGAATGTGGAAAGCTAAACTACCTGCTATGACAAGTTCAGGCCCTTTTGTTATCACAGCTTCATCTTCAGAAGGTAGTGTTAGTCTTCATGATGTTCTCTTTGGTGATGTATGGGTTTGTTCTGGACAGAGTAATATGGCATTCGCCATGAACTCGGTAATTTATTTTTCATATTTTATATATTGTATCACCTATATCATATAAAATGTTTTCAGGTCAGTTTTCGTTCCATACGTATCTATTGCATCTTCGGATGAGAGTCGCTTTCCGTTATTCATAGCGGGTGGTAGAGCACGGTAATGGCGACGCAGATTACATTAATGATATGGGGCTGCTTTTTATATGATTGCCAGATACCAGTGGTAACAGTTAGAGGTAATCTCAATGGCCAAAAGTGCCAAATAGAGATCCATCAATCTTTATGGTCGGCAACGCTAGACCACACCGTGCCCGAGCCGTTGTTGATTTCCTGCGCTAGTAGGCCGTTGCTATGCTACCTTGGCCAACCAGAATCCCTGGCCTACATCCAAATGAACATATCTGGGTTATCCGCCAGGCACTACAGCAGGAAAGAAACTTATTAACGCGAGCTCAGCCAACATGTGGTCCAGCCTGGCGGAGTCTACACCAGATATGGACATTTTTCACTGCTTTAGCGTCTCAGTGGACAACTTGAACATGAAATGAAATGAGCTGAATTGAAGGATTTCTGATCAACCACTAGTACTATATTCAAATATTATTCTATATTTTAATAATGTATCAGTTAACATGTGAATAAAATGCATGTCTCAATTGTCAGTGAAAAAAATGTCGATGTTCCTCTTTCTAAATTATTCCAACCCCAACTATCATAAACCTATAAATCTTTAACACACCTGCTGGTCATTTTCAGGTTAGAATCTTGACTTAAATCAATCAAACTGCTCTGGCCCGAGACTCAACTAGAATTCAAACATCAACATAGGAATAGTTGAAAAATTTTATTTTTTTTTGTTGTTGGGTTTTTTGTTTTATTTTGTGTTCAGCAGTATGAAATACATAAATCTTATCCAAAGGAATACACTGACCATCTCGATCGCATGATATAAATGATCGACAACGGTATAGTAACCGTTATATTGCCAAGAACACTCCAGAAGCATTTTCTAACATTTTATTTTCAATGTAATCGCCCACACCTTACAATGACCTGTAATAGATGAATTATTATTAAATTGCAGGTGAATAACAGTGCCTATGAAATAAAGAAAGTCCTGACCTTTGATAAAATTAGATTATTTCACGTCAAAGTTGACGAGTCACCGACACCACTAGTAGACATAAAAACAGCTTCCGCAACATGGGCGCTTCCAACAGCAAGTAAGAAAATGTATTTATTGTATTATGATTTGGATCTATGGGTCTTTGACCTAAATCCTTAATAAAAATAATAATAATAATAATGATATTTGATATCTGGAAGGATATGTATGCGGTTTGTCCAGATTTTTTGTATCAGATGGTTAAATTCCCAATGTGTCATTTTAGCTCTATAGAATTACTTTCAAATTACGATATTTTAAACGATGAATCCCAAGTAGGAATATCAGTCCAAACATGGTTCAATTCCGTTCAGTAT